TTGATTACGATTGTTTGATTAGCTGATTGCGGTCCCAAAATTAGGTCATGGGAAAGATCCACACACACAGCTTAGTTGCTGACCCACGTCTGTTTTCAGGCTCGCAGGTGCAACTAGGATCGGACTACTGAGGCTGCCCTATCCTTCTGTACTACCATCATGAGGTAGTTTGCAACACTGTTCTGTCATGGTCACCTAGGATTTCTGCTCTGAGTGTTTTCAATAATAACCCACATTTTGTAAAATTCAATAAATGGGTTGGGGATCGAATAATGAGTTTGTATGATAACGCTTTATGGTTGTGTTTAATAATCGAATATGATGTTTGAGATGATTGAGTTCAACCAGTAACACCAAGGATTTGGCTGCCCGGTTGAACCACGGGTTCAACCATAGAGATTCTGGGTGGGGTGTTACACTTATGACACTGATGAGGTCATTATACCAAGAATAGTGTTGAATGTGGAGAACTCCAAGTGGCCCTTCATACTCAAAAGGAGGCAATTTCCAGTGCGATTATGCTATGCGATGACTATAAATAAAAGCCAAGGGCAAACACTTGAAAAAGTTGGGATATATTTGCATGAACCAGTGTTTAGTCACGACCAACTTTATGTGAGAGTTTCAAGAGTAAAATCAGCCAGAGGTTTGAGGATTCTTATAGAAAACCCACCAGAAATACCTCATGACTTTACAAGAAACATAGTCTTCAACGAAGCATTTGCCAATATAGTGGATACCTAAACTACTTATCAGGTAATTCCATTAAACCTATTAAACTAACAAATGTTTGCATCAGTAAATGTGACTGAAATAATTGTTTTTCTTTTGTAGGATCGAAGAAATTCACTGACGTACTCACTTTGACCATTGCCTACCCGCCGGTTATTCTGTTTAGCCCGTATGGATGACCCTGATGTTTGTATCTAAATAGTTCAGAGAGGTGAATGTTTTGTCTTGATCATGCGTCCAAATAATGAATGATGAAGAACTACATTCATTATAGAAAACCCACCAGAAATACCTCATGACTTTACAAGAAACATAGTCTTCAACGAAGCATTTGCCAATATAGTGGATACCTAAACTACTTATCAGGTAATTCCATTAAACCTATTAAACTAACAAATGTTTGCATCAGTAAATGTGACTGAAATAATTGTTTTTCTTTTGTAGGATCGAAGAAATTCACTGACGTACTCACTTTGACCATTGCCTACCCGCCGGTTATTCTGTTTAGCCCGTATGGACGACCCTGATGTTTGTATCTAAATAGTTCAGAGAGGTGAATGTTTTGTCTTGATCATGCGTCCAAATAATGAATGATGAAGAACTACATTCACCTTCACTTTTGGCAATCAGTTCCTCAGACACATGTTGCAGTTTATATCATATAAATGGAAGATCTGAGTTATTAGAACTGTGTTTATCTAAATGTAAGATAAAAAAACTCAATTTTGTACAAATTGCCTTGCCTGGACCACAATCCACAAAATTATAGGGCAATACAAAGTAAATCAGTAAACATACAGGCCCGTTGTTCAAGCCCATAATACAATGACCAATGCAAAGCCTTTATAGTCACAAACATGATTTAAATAAAAGCCCATAATACAGGCCCGTTCAAACCAAGCGATCCTCCTTAAAACCCTATCATCCCTCATCAACCATCGACAACCGCCGTCCACATCTTCATCAACCTTTCTCCGCTGAAGAAGCCCCACCACAGAAACTACCAGACAAACATTAAAGCAAAGGTAAGTCCACGTCTCTCTCTTCTTCACCGCTTTTACTGCTGAAACAACATTTCTGGTCGGTTTTTGTATTATTCGCACAGAGACCCCACCTGGCATGGAGAGTTTAGGCAAAAACCGCCAGACAACAGATGGCGCTCACATGGTCCCCACCGATATCAAAGGTGAGCAACTTCTATTTTCTTAAACAAATACTCCCAAGAATCTCGATTCCTCTGCAAGAAAGATAAAAAATCCATTTCGTTTCCCTTTATTGTCTTATAGATCCGATTGAAACTTGCATGCCATTTCGGGGTTTGCGTTTGGGCATAAATACTCGCATAGTCATTGTTCGGCCTGTGATGACGTGTCTCGAATTTCGAGAGGCACCCGGGCTTAAAAACCCCAGCATGCACATGATTTGGATAGACAAGAAGGTTCATTTACAATTAAGTTACAGAATTGCATAATCTATTCATAAGTTCTTTTAGACCAGAGTACCATGTAGTTTGAGATCGCTAAACTGTTTATCTTATAGGCACGATTGATCGAGTCGATGGTTGATGAAAAGGACATCAGCGAGATTTCTCGCAAGATTAAAGTCGGGAACCTTTATCGTTTCGATTCGGTGGTGGCTATACCAGCAAGAGAGAATCCTAGGATTGTTGCAGGAGAGTTAAGGATACACATAACCCTCGAACAAAACATCCCAAGAATTGAAGAAGACCCAGATGAGCCACGATTACCCATCGGCAGGGACATTGGGATGGCTTTTAAGATAGTACCACTTCAGACAAATACCATTGACTATCATACAGGTACGCTTGACTATCTCAATTTCCTATGCTAAAATAAACGTAAACTTTAAAATGACAAACTATCTCGGTAACCACAGATATCACTGCATGCGTCAGGTGTATTAGTGTTCCTACAACAGTTCGTGGTACCCTCCGAGAATTCCACTTGGTCATACAGGATGTGAGGTGCGTTCTATAGGATAATATACTACTTTATTAATTATATGAATCACCAACCTTACATATATCTGTCACAATCAGTGGCGCTAAGGCATATGTGCTGTATCGAGGATATGACATCCCGAAGTTCTTAGAGGATGCTCCAACAGCTGAGGCTCATCTGCCCCTCATTGTTACAATCAAAGCTTCTATTCGAGTGCCGCCTCTGTCCAGCCAGAAATATAAGTATCGTTTTGAATCCACTCCTGCCAGTCAGTTGATAATAAGATCTTATGCAGGCACATTCAAAGAAATTATGCACATGTACATTTCTCTCTGAACAAGTGTTATTCATTCTTCGATTCATATATACTGCCAACCGACCAGAACAAAGATAACACTTTTTATTATTTTGCTACAACCAGCTTCCTTCATAGTCGCAGGCAGGTCTACTACATGGGCGCCAACACCAGTAAGAAAACAGGCTGCCTTCGATCAACAGTTGAGAAGAAAACACTTGCTGACATCAAAGCTATGCTTGCATCTGATCAGAGCTGCCACAAGGTTAGTCGTGGACAAAATGCCTCATAAATAGCTACATCCCGCAGTCAGTGGCGGAGCCACTTGGAGAGGAGGGGGTGCTTTGCACCCCCCTTGGGTTTGGAGAAAAAATTTCCGAGTAGGGGTATATACAAATTCCAACTAATGACCATTCAGTTGCAGGAAGAATTTCTTATCATTTCGATCGAGTGAGTTTTGTTATGTAATGCACTTTCGTCTTTATTTATAGTAATAAATTGTTGTCTTTTGTTTAAACTCGCTCTTTTTTTTTTTTTTTTTTTGTAGCTCTACAACAGAGAAATTTCTTGTCTTTTGTTTAAACAAAGTTGAAAGTGAAGAAGTACCAATTGAAGTTCACTTGTTTGTTTCACAAAATCAATTCCAAGGTACTTCTGAGTTCTAATTTGTAATATTTGATGAATGGAAGTCTTGATTTGTATGTACTGAACTTATTTGTTTGACGTTGTAACCGGTGTACGTGAAACTATTTTGATGTAATTGTGTGAATTTAGAGTATTGCGTTGTTGACTTTTTGTTTAATTTAAAGTTGACTTTTCTATTGTATAGGTGATTTTTTATGATATGATAAAGACACCCCCTTGGCCAATTTCCTGGCTCCGCCACTGCCCGCAGTTACATTTTATAAACAAACATTACTAACTAAGAAATACCATTCGTATTAGGTGCTTTACCGTGCCAAGTTCCACATATCACAGATGAAATTTTGAAAAAGCATCTGCAGAACAACTGAGGAATGGCCAGAGTATGTTTCCTATTTCAATGCGCATCTATTATTTACTAATTTATCCACAAAGAAACTAACATAACTTCTCGCTTACATTTATGACCAGCTTGCACTATCAGCTCGAAGTCAAGTGTGAACAAGGATCTGATGATATTGATGCCATACTGGACCATGAGGCAACTCTCTCAATAATCGGAATGTCACCAAGCAAGTACGTGAAACTCTATGCGGATGCGGCTAAGGAGTTGCTGATCAAAAAATGCAGCAGAATGTTTGCAGGAGAACTGTACATCGGTTCCTCGGATCTGAAGAACAGAACCGCACCAGCCAAACCTCACATCAGAGTTTCAACACTTTGGCACACCTCAAGAATCGACAAGTGATCGTCAGCACCAATGACAGAAAGAGTCCCTGATGCGTGTTTGCTGCCTCTATTATCCTCCTTCCTTAACTAAGTTTTCATTCTCAAGGTCCAACGAGGACAAAACAATGTTTACATTTGATTTGGATTTTTGGATTTCACAAGGATGTTATGTACTATCTTTTGTTTTTATGCCTTGATATACTAAATCCCCAGCACGGTTTCGTGCACCCAACTATAATGCATCTACAATGGCAGCATCCTTGCTTTGACAACTATGATGCTTGATGAGGACAACTAGGTCACACAATCGAACGACCCCGTGTACGCTAATAACATATGTTGACATCTCTACGCGACAGAACATGGCCGAGGCTTAACAATACCATAGAACAAACTCTATCCATATCTCAACCGTTTCCAGATTACATGCATACAAATATATATCATAATCCATGAAATTACTCAAGCCAAACTTATCCCGCCGCGGAGCGCGGACTGATTACTAGTGAGTATAAGTTATTTCAAATAACTCATTTCAGTAAAATGCTACCAAACAAATTATTTGTGTCCAAATAACTCATACAAATACTTCATCCAAACGATCTCATACTTTAGTGATATCTTAGGTATTATACCCACTACACGTTTATGTTACTTCATTTTCGACCTCTCTTTGCCTCATTTTTTTTTCTTTTTCCACAAGTGGTAATACGGCAGCGTATCAAGAACTTCCTGGCTTTCCAAGAGAGAAAATCACAGTCGAGAATCGACCGCACGAACAAAAAGGGAACCATACAAGTGTCATTCTCCTGAAACGGTGAAACCAAATAAACTTTTGGAATAAATTTTCATAGATCGAAAGTAATCTCTTATACAACTCGATGCAAATTACAGTGGCATTCTTCAACCAATCATTCCTCCAAGCATACAAAATAAACGAGAAAACAAGACCTTGTATTTGGTAATCTCTGAACCTCTGTGATTTCAGACATAGTCAAAGCAGAAGGATCAAACATCGGCAGTCCGTTCCACAGTTTCTCAGCAGATACGCAAGTTTGGAACTTGAACATCTGCACTACCCAACAACCAGTCATGAACATCCCAAACAACCTCAACTGGCCTGGGAGAATCATCAAATAGTATTGTCCCATTGTCGCAAAGCTTCCACTTCAATCTCCTGATCTGCATCACCACTTCACTGTAAACCCTAAGAACAAGACAAGGGTCCTTGAGCATATCGACAGTGTCACACTCAATAGCAACATCATGCAATCGCCCACCCCCACAGAACTGAGGTTTCGCACCATAAAAGTTCCTCCCGAAAATGTGTTCCTTCTTGGCAATGAAGACGGGCATTGGAGTGAAGAAGAGCTCCATCACCGTCGAATTTATTACAGGCTTCCTTCTTCAAATCCCCAAGAAGCAACAAAAGAAAAGATGTCCCCTGCACCAGAAATCAATATTGAAACCATGATCGTACTTTAAGTAATCTTCTACAAACCCAGGATCCAACAGAATTCTCTTTCAATCCCCAAATAGTTCTTCCCTTTAATTGATATTTTGAGACCCAGGCAACCCAGAGGCCAGAAGGTACCCCCTGCATGAGAAGTAGCCTCAGGAGACGGGCCACATTCCAGCCCCCTCCCCTCCTTTTCGGCTTGAACAAGCAATTTCCAAGCAACTTTCGCCTTAACAGATCCCTTATATACTGAAAATAATCTTTTTGAGAAACATAAAACTAGCCAACCAAAACTGAAGCAATGCATATAAAACTGATGACACTAATTGTACTAATCATCAAATTGCTTGTTCATGAAGCACATATTTTAGGGGGAAATCATGACACTTGAACGAAAAACATAACTATTCAACCTTTGACATAGAATAGAAAAGAAAAGATATTGCTGACAGTTGCTAGGCCGGCAGACCGCAGCAGGCAAGGCAACACAAGATAGCAAACCTGCAACCTCACTTGTGGCAGTGACGAATCAGGCGGAGCTCAAATGCAAAGTAGAAGGCTAAGACTTCCCAACTTCCCCATGTCCCTCCCAGCCGTTGGTTTAGGGGGGCGATGGTCAGAATAGCATACACAAGCCCAATTGCAGTTACAACACCTGGCATGCAACTTGCTCCCACTAAATGCCTCAAATGAGTCCCCATCTCTGCTAAATGACTACTATTGCAAGTGGGAATTTGAATAAGAACAAGCAACGTTGGTTGTATTGTAACAGTAGCTCACAAGACAGACAACATGCTTCAAAGAGGCTAGGAATTCAAGCAACCATATGTCATAAAGATTCATTCAATACTTCAACCTCTAAGCTAATTCAACTGCTCTGCTGCAGCAACATAAGTTTCCACTTCAGAACCGCTTCCATTCAAAGGGACTACATCAACATGCTTAGTCCTTCACATACTGGTAACTACCAAGATCAAGTTCAACGATGAAGTCATTACCAAGCAAACAACTAAGGCAAATTAAAATATCAAACATATTTCAAATTTAGAAAAAGTTACACCAATGAAGCATCCGGTGCACAACTGAATCATTCTTGGAAAAGCTTCTGCACTTTCACAATCATACTCGTGCAAATTTCAAAACAACATGGAACAAGTACTACACACCTCGGCTCTCGTATGCTCAATCATCAGCTTCATCGGATCCTTTTGCACCAAACGGATCGTGGTTCGGACCTACATCCTCTCCAATATGGCGCTGGACCAAACGCTGTAGATCAGCCATAACCTTGTGCTCACGTTTCGCTTTCTCTTCATAGTTAAACATGGCCAAAGCACGCTTGTCCTCAGCACTGTATACCTGGTTTTCTTTCCTTATACGAATTGCATTCATCCTCTGATGCCTGCTACCACTCATCACATACCCTAGACCCTCAAACCTCTGTATCTCATCAGCAGAGAGACCCACTTCACCTCTTCTTGGGATACGCTTCCCTTGTTGCACATACTGAGCAATGGCATCACCTTCACCAGGTCTCAAAGCACCACCATAGCTAATGTGCCCCTCAGCTCTAGGCAAAGGCATTGGACCAACGGCAGGTTCACTGTCAAAAGAAGGTTTCTTTGGTGCCTCCATCAGTTCTTTGAACATCAAAGCTTCAGTATTCATTTCAGCTGTTATAGCATCTTCATCTGCTGCTATTGCTGGTTTGCTCTTTGTATCAATTTCAGAATCCACACTTTCACCGTCGGATTGTGATTTTCTCTTCTTCTTGGAGAGTTTTGCACGAGAGCCTGATCTGTGTTTCCACTTCTTCGACTTGGACTTCTCATTGCTATCATCAGAATCCTCACTGCCGCTATCATCAGAATCAGAATGCCCACTCTTTCTCCCACTTTTTCTGCTTCTGCGACTCTTTCTGCTGCTCTTGCTCCTCTTGGCTGACTTCTTCTTCCGGCGACCACCATTCTCCTTTTCAGAATCGCTTGCACTCTCACCCACATCCTCGACCGGTTTACTGCCGCTATCCACAGCTGACTTAGTACTCCTAGGCATAGAACTCAAACTGCTTCTCTTCTTCCTCGACTTCAAATCTTCCGATTCGCTCCCGGGCGAGATATCTGATTCCTTACCTCTTCTACGCTTGGATCTCGAGCTTCTCTTCTTCCTTCTCGACCGTGAATCGTCAGACTCAGATTCAGACGGGCTCTCCGACTCGCTACTTCCAGAATCCCCTGACTCAATATCCGGTAGGCCATTCCCATCTCCTAATTTGTCTTTCCCACTGCAATGGTTTTTGTCCGAGCTACCATCTCCCCTCCGTTCCGTCTCTTCCTCATCGGTCCCGTTATCGAGCCTCGGTGGACTAGGGGTAACCTCCCAAATACAGTAACTCAGCGACTTCCTAAGCTTCTGCCTCTTCAGCCTCCTCTTCTCTTCAAAGCTCAAATCCTTCAATTCCTCGTCGGAATCCGGTTCCGTATCCCTTCCGTTTCGGTAGCCACCACCATCGCAGCGGCCGAACTTAGTCGGGAGAGAATCTAGGTTTTCTTTAGCCCAAGGACTGGGGCTTCTCCTTCTTCTAGGGCTAGGGTTTGACCTAGGGCTTCGGTGAGCCGGAGAGATCGAGCGGCGGCTGCGTCCTCGATCCGTCTCCCGATAGCGCTCGTCGTACCTGCTGTAGCAAGGGCTGCGACGGCGATAGACGGGGGAAGAATCGGATGCAGGCGCGTGGCGGCCGTTGTGGCGATCCGGCCGGTAACTTCTATCGGGAATTTCGACGACCGAAGCTGGTCTGGGCATTTTTCCTTCTCAGAGATTTTGAGAGAGAAGCAAGGAATTGGTACTGATTTGTGATTCTTGTTTGATTTATGTCCTCCGATGGCACAACCGCACAACCCCGATTTTGCCGGCCTAGTTATTCGGCTAACTTAAAATTCGTTAGTATATATTATATGCTAATTTAAAATTCGTTATTATATGCTAATTTACTAATATCCAAAATGTATGAACCAATATTCAAGTCTGTTAAATACCTAGTTAGTACGGACTAGTATTCAAAACATCACAAACTAGTATTCAGATGGCAGATACCAACTAATATCTACAATCAACCAACTAGTATTCAATATGGATACTCTTATGGGTTATCTGAATACTCTTACGTGTTATCTGGATACTAATTATGTACTGTTTGGATACTATTTTGTGATATTTAGATATTAGTTTGTAAATTTAGGATAATAGTTGATTCATGGTGGATATTAGTTAGCAAACTTTGAATACTAGTTTGTGCTCTCTATATACTTTAGTACTTGAATATTAATTCATGTATTTTGGATATCAATTAGTATCTGCTAACGAATCTCCAAGTTAGCATATTAACTTTTCCCGATTTTGCAAGCGTGGGCGGTGTGTGGTTATTCAATCGAGCTAGTAGGTGTGTGGTTATACACTCACAGCCGGGCCTGAGTCTCTAATTAAGCCCAAAAGTTTAAGCATATTGCTTAAATTATTATGACAGTGGATTATATAATTAATAAGGGATTAGTAGTTGAGCATAAATAAAGTTATTACACAAATATAATTGATATTAATAATTAATTATTCTCTTTCTCTCTCCTCACATAACTTTCTCCATAATCCTCTCTCTCCACTACAATTAAAAGAAAAGTTAAAATTAATTTAATTATATTTTAATATTTAATAAAATTCAAACTTGATAATTTTTCCCGTTTAAAAATGGAAATTGAAAATTAAAAATATGCTCTCTCACTTAGTGGCAATGTTTTGTAATGAAATTATCAATGTTTATTAAATAAATTATTATTACTATACCTTATCATTATTAACGATTTCAATATACGTATCAATTCTTTACTATTATATTATTAAGAATTTGGGATCAATTGTTATCAACGTTTATGAGCTTCCAAAATATTTTTATTAATTATTTATTAGACGTGTTTGGTGATTATATTTAACATTGTCAATTTTTCATTAAATAGTAACGTCATGACATGTGTGCACGTATAGTTTTCATCAGGGTTCAAGAAGGCGCGCCTAGGCGCACGCCTAGGCTCAATTAGGCGCTAGGCGGTGGAGGATCACCTTGACTTGGCCATAGGCGTTGTAAAAGGCGCTGATAGCGCTTAGTAGGTAGGAATAGCGCTTAGTTTGCGCCTAGTGGAGAGAAGGCGTGTCTGGGCGTTCCTGGGCGAGCTTAGGCGGTTAAACCCAATACTTTTCGTTTTGTCCTAGAAAATCAGAAAATTGCCTCTTGCCCTAGAAAATCAGAAACACGGGAAGGGGATGACCATGCTATGTATGTATTCGTCGATAAGGATGAGGAATCATATTGTGCACCCTCGAGTACTGTTACAGATGCAATGGTAGGTGAACAGAGTGAGCTTCGCAGGAGTGCACGAGTGAGAGAGCTCCATGATGAAGAATTAGTGTCTGAAGAGGAGGATGGTGAGGAGATTGCTTTTGAGGATGATGAAGATGAAGTGGTGGCTGGACGGACCTACTTGGATGATGAAGAATGAACATTTGCGTATGAACTTATTGACTATTGTTTAGTATTTCGACATTTTATGAACTTGTGATTCTAGGAAGTGGTCACTATTTGCTTGTTATTTGTTATGTTCAGCGTTTACTGTTAAGAACTAGGCATTGCTAATTTTATATGCACTTGGATTATATGAATTATTCCAGAAAATAGGAAATATTTGAGAAATTTTTCCATTTATGCTCTGAACGCCTAAGCACACCTAGGCTACGCCTAATTAGGCAAGGCGCAAGTCAGGAGCCGAGCGCCTGCCTTACGCCTAGCGCCTTTTAGAACCTTGGTTTTCATAATCAAATGTTTAATAATCGTTATTATCAAATTTTACATGAATTGTTAATAAAACAATTTATGACATAATTAGTTTTAAACTTTAGTAACCTTTAATAAGAACACACTAAATCATTGATAAAGACTATATTTAGTTGAAAATAAATATTTTTGTATTCAATAAAAACATAATTTATGGTTTTTTATGTTTGCGTTATCAATAAATTTTTGTTACATTATTAACGGTTTGTTGCATCTCTATCAACCTAGGAGCTTATGTTTTCCAATTTGGACGGCAGGTTTATAAACTTTTTCATAAACTGTGCTATTTGTTTTTATTATTGTTATCAAACTTTATGAAACAATGTCCAACAATTACACCATCAACTTTTATTGGTTCATTGTTATCAATCCAAGATACTTTTATCAACTTTTTTGCAATGAATTTTCTACGATATACAAAAACATTATCATCGTCTCCTAAATCATTTTTTGTTGTTTGTTAATGGGTTTAGGCTCATTGTTAACAATCTAATGTAATGTTTCCATTGTTGATGTAATGTAAATTGTTATTAACGTAATAAAATATTTAAGGTTATAATATCTATAGCCGAGCATTATCAAATTTTTAGTGAATTATTAATAAAATATAGTTACATTATATGTGTTTAATATATCATGATATCATATGTTGTTTGTTAATGTATCATGATATCAAGTAGTTGTTACAACTTACAATTTCACTTTCACGTTAAAAACGTTAAGCAACTCCCACCAAAATGTTGTTAAAGTATATCAAAACTAATAGTATCAAAATCATTAAAAATCGACCTAAAACATTTATAATTTTCAGTTTAATGAAATTTTTGAAATGAGAACGTCACGTTTACGTTAAAAACGTTAAGCAACTCTCATCAAAACGTTAACAACGTGAAAGTATAATAGTATACCATTACTAATAGTTTCAAAACGTTTAACAATTGACCTAAAATGTTTGCAATTTTGTCATGTACTGTTAATAGTGAACACTGTCGACGTTTGATGTATCATGATATTAGTTGTTGTTTGTTTGTCGAAACGAGTGAGACGTCTTTAAGAGCCCATTACTAATAGTATCAATAATGATAATGTTGTGAATCAATGGTATTGTGAATCATTATTGATGTTGATGATGAAAATGTACAACAGTAACGATTGATTCAAAATTGTTAATAATATAATTGTAGTCAATGATTCATTCATAAACGTTGATGATGAAAATGTACAACGGTAACGATTGGTTCAAAATTGTAAATAATATAATTGTAAAGAATTGATGTTTATATTGAAATCGTTAATAATGATAAGGTATAATAATAATGATTTATTTCATAAACGTTGATAATGTCATTGCAAAACGTTAATAATACATTGCAAGTTGTCGTGAAATGAGAGAGAAGATTTTTAATTTTTAATTTATATTTTAAAAAGAGAAAATTATTAAGTTTGAATTTTATTAAATATTAAAATCTAATTAAATTAATTTTGAATTTCCTTTTAATTCTAGTGGAGAGAGAGGGTTATGATGAAAGTTATGGGAGGAGAGAGAAAGAGAATAATTAATTAATAGTATTAATTTTTTTTATAATATTAATAGTATTAATTATATTTGCATAATAACCTTATTTATCCTCAACTACTTATTAACTACTAACACCCTTATTAACTACCTAATCCACTATCGATCAATAGAATGACTTAAACAAAATGCGTAAACCTATAGGCTTAAGCACCAAATCCTACTCGCTTACAGCTGACACTAGCATTCTCTATTATTCAAATATTGTAACAAAGTCCTTTTTTTTAATCAAAATAAGCATCCAGAGCATGACCGGATAACAAATTTAAAAAAAGACAAATGTAAAGAACGGTAGTTCGTATACAATCGGACTCCCGATGAAATAGCCTTTTTTGCCATGAAGTGGGCAACTCAATGAAAGCTCTGAGGAGTGAAAAGACACGAAACTAACTCAGAAAGATAGGAAAGGGAGAGAACTTCCTTACGAGTACCCCTGCCTGAGGGTAATTTTTTTATTTGATAACCCAGGAACATCAGCAACCCACATTCCACATGAGTGACAGCGGGGCCTACTAAACCCGGGGGTACCTGCATACTAACCATCAAGGACTTTGTCCCAACGCAGTGCCCTGTGTTGTGCTACCATTATTGGGGAGACTTTGTCTCCTCTACCAAGGGTGCCTCCGGGAACTCCAAGAAGGTGGTACTGGGATTCGAACCTGGGACCTTGTCACATCCCAAACTCGAAACTCAGCCTTTTTACCAACTAGGCTGTCTTACCATCGACACCCCTGCCTGAGGCTAATAAACCTTCATGATTGCGTACAAACGGTAAAGTAGTATAGAGAACACCTTAGAATGACTCAGGCTTTGGAATGGGAAGACTTCCTCGATATAGCCCCCATGTTGACCGTTGCGAATCTCCACAAAAAAAGTAACAAGCAAACATTATGAGTAAGACATCATCTCATAGCTTCACGAAGGGCAAGTAGTTATGATCTATATACATATAGGCAATTGAGCATGAGTAATACCATAATCAAATTAACTGAAAGTACATGAGACAGTTCCATCACCTGAGAAGTCGGCGAAATGAGTTGCACACCCTTCATGATTCTTTAAGGTCTCATCATAATGGACCAATACACTTTCGTTAGGGTGGATTATAACTCGTCTCAAAAAGGCATCCACTAAGATGCTAGAGATCTCTATCTCAAGTGAACAAGGTATGCCATTGAAACATAGATCGAAAAATCACATATACAACACCAATTCTATGTTGAATTCATGCATCATGGGTAAACTTTAATTCATACAAATTTTCCGGTATAAACAAAATTAATCATTAATCCGAGTAAGATGCCAAATCAACGCACACATGAGCAACAACTTAGCCTCATGTAACCTATAGATGTCACGCCATATTTTACTAAATGTTTTTGCACTTGTTTTCGTCTACCTCATCTTCCTTCATTCCTCTGCTTCTATCCTCTCAATCTTTTCCAAAATCTCCGAATACATTTCACA